CCAATGTATATTCAACAGTCGACGTAAATAACGAAGATTTTATCTGGAACGTCTACGACGAAACTAATTTGAAAATAATCACTAGTTGATGGTGATTTTCATTGCATTAATCTGCACAAACCAAAAATGATTAATATCACGTTCTTGAAATGGATGAATTTGTTTTTATTTCTGACTCTCATAGAGGGCGCTAGTTACACGGTTGGTACCGAGTAGTTTTGAACATAACTTTTTTGAGGTTAGATTTTTCAATCCAAATTTGATATGAACTTGAACATCATTCAATTTCACACCAAAAAGGCAATCCCGGTGAAACTCGATACTATGTTCCGTTTTCGGAATATTACGATCTGTAAATAATGGAGTAGTGATGATGCTGGTATAAAATAAATTTTATTGAGTTCAATTACCTATTTATTCAGGTTCAAAAACAATGAAATTATTCTTGTGCTGAAGTTATTGATGGAACAAAGAATCATAAGTTGAAAATTGAGAGATATTTGACTAGAAACATGAAATAATGAATCAGTTAGAGTAAGTGTTCAAAATGTCCTACGTTTCGAGGAATACACGATTCTATATTATTTTTTTAAGAATGTAATTTTCTTCTGAACAGTTGAGGATCAGCTGTTAGGTCATTCAAGTGATGTTCAATTATGTCTCACAACTCTTGACGTGAATTTACCTATGTAGCATAGACTTTCTGCTCAAGATACAACAAAACTGTGTAATCCATGTTCTTAGTCAATTCTGTTTCGATGTTATTCTTGTGATTCATTGTTAAATCAATGAGTTTTGCATCAGAAATGTATTGTTGTTTTCCATTTTCAATAAATAGGTGATAATTTTTCATAATACTCACTCTAATACATAACTTTATACCAGCAACAGTTACCACTTCATCATTTACAAATCGAAATATTCCGAAAACGGAACACAGTATCGAGGTTTACCAAGAGTACCTCTTTGGTGTGGAATTGAATGATGTTCAAGTTCACATCAAATTTGGATTTAAAAATCTAACCTCAAAAAAGTTATGTTCAAAACTCGCGCCCTCTATGAGAGTCAGATATAAAAACAAATGCATGCGATGTGTCAGATTCCAAGAAACAACAAAATTTCATCACAATGTTGCCAGTAGTTTCAACATAATCGTAAAAAATGTGTAAAAAAATATTGTTTCAACATCTTGTATCTTGAAAACGGATGGCTTTACGATATTTTTCTACTGAGCAAACCCAACTTATTTTGCAATGTTCTACCTACCCTAGCAAGGGGGTTAGGTTTTTTGAAACACCCTGTATATTGAACACACACGATAAGATTTTGAAAACAAAATCTTCTGAAGTTTGGAATTTGTATTCTCCTTCAGATAAAAATATGTATGCACATGAAACCATTCTGAATATTCAACAGAAAACAACTACTTTCCTGGCTATTTGCTACGTCGAACATTGAATTATATCTGTTGAATATCCAGAAAGGGAGCATGAAAAATGAAAATATGATGTATTATGATATAAAAATATAACTTACCAATATGTTCATTGTTCAGTATTGGAATGAAAATTGAAATGTATAGGAGAAGTATACTTGTATGAACTCTGATCTTGATGAGCTTGGAACTTCCAAAAAAAAATCATTCGTATCAGTGATATGGGAATTATATCTCTCACAGAGAGGTTATATGATATCACTCGAATAAAACTCATTCCGGATATCAAATCTTAATCATTAACCTGAAGTCCAGTTATTCTTTCAGCCATTCTTCATCAAAACGTGATCCTAGCAGTTCTGGATTCGTATAAAGACGATGGATATTCTCGGAACTTCCTCAAACATTCCATTTCTACGCAAATTCATTATGATATACACAATTTTCATCTCCCTATAATATAACTAAAACTATAACGAACTGACATCTGAGAATTATAATTTGTTGACATAACTTGGACGATGGAAACTTGTTATTTTTATAGACGTCAATCGCAGATTCGTGATCAGGTTTTCTCAATTCAGAATACCTTTCCACGTCCTGTATGATACATATCAATTTATCATGAATAAAAAAAAAGTATTGATTTCGTTTTGATTTGTTTTTGTGCAACTCTGACGGAAAAATAATTGATTATTACCAGCATCTATAATGAATATAATAAACATTTGAATTAAAAAAATTGATTGTACATTCATAGTAGAATTTGAAACGATATATCACTGTATATTAGGTGGTAATGTGGGAATGTGTATAACCTCATTAATTTCACATCACATTTGTTTCTTGCTCTTCGAAAGATGTCACGTTCTCGAACAGTTTACAACCCTCATCAATCACTTTTTGCGTTCAACATTTCACATTTCCCATCATGCACAAAATATCAAGTTTCAAGTTTCGACTTACGAATATGAATCGAAAAAAAAAAACTATCAAGTCGTTGTCCTCTGTCTCTGACATTCTCTCAGACTATTCATTGTCTCGTGTCTTTTTTTATTCACAAGTGTTCATATACTGTTGGTGACGATTCTCCTTATACCAGATGGTGGTTTAAATCGATGTCAATAAGTATTATATTGTATTGTATTATTGTATGTATACACTTACCAACTCTTCGACCCCATTAGAAAACCGTAGAGAAGTCGGCGACCTTTGACTTTTCTATAGATACTTTCATGGGAAATGTTTCTCAGAAATCCCTGCTATAATTTCATCACAGCATATCCCTTCGTCGTTAACCTTGAAAAATGTCGAACAACACTCTACCAAAACACGTTCGTCTATAGAACGGCAAAGCTTTGGAATTCTTTGCCAATGGAAGTATTCCCAAGGACTTATAACCTCCAAAAGTTGAATAACATTTCCAACACCTACTATTATTCAATTCAAATATCCAACAGTTTATATGCATATAATAGGTATTTCGTATTTCTCAGCCACTTTGGGCATATAAAGTAAGCGAAATGAATTTCTCGTATTACCATAAGAATATAATTTTCAGGAAACCTTGAATGAACATTAAATGATACCCAAACAGCAAAGAGGCCGACGCCCGACAGACCAGAAAAAGGGTTCAAAAGGGTCGGAACTGACAACAACGCATTATCAAAATATTTCAAAAAATATCAAATCCAAAACAAATAACTTTTGTATTAAATTTGTTTCTATCTTCAATAGGAGGAGGTGATGACCACTGTGACCTTACAAAATACTCCATGACCAAGACTCTTGGGAGAGAGTCTTGGTCTTGGTCTCGAATGTCAAGTCTTGGTCTCGGTTTTCGGAAGATTTATTAAGTCTCGATCTTGGTTCTTGTATCGAGACCAAGACAAGATCAAGACTGGACTCTTGGTCTCGCGAAGCCCTAATGATGGAATGACGGTATTTCGTCTTCTATAGCTTATTAATCTAGCTTGAAATGTACATATTTCCCTGAACGGTGAACTTCCGCCTGGAATATGTTTGGGAATTTGCCATGGCTTTCGAAGTACTTGGTACGAGGAACGTACACTCCTTTTCCAGTTCCATCTTCGGTGTTGGATTCATCTGCGTACCACTTTATGGCTCCTCCTCTGAGCTCAATACCCATGGATTCACTGTTTCATTCTTTTTTGCAGCTCAGCCTGGTGAATTGTTTCACAATGCTGAATTTTTTCTTTATCTCCTCCTGAGACAATTTCTGGATTTGCTGGTTGAGTGGACAGATTGGCCAACCGTTGATCACTCCTTCTTAAATCATTCTGTATGTCGGTCTCTTATTATTTTATTATATAGCTCCTTCAATATTCCACATTTTATTAATATTTTGATCAATATTTTATCAAATACTGAAGAGAGCTTGAAAAAAGAGTATACTTGTGAATAGCGATTAAACCTCGTAGGATTTTTCTTCGTACTTTCTGATAACAGGAAGTAAATCCAATAAGGTCTCGAAAAAAAGTCGGAATCGACTATAAAATCAAATTTACATCGTTCGCAGTAGCGAGAGAAACTACTTATCGAAAAGGTTTGGGCCTAGGGCATTGTTTTCAAATGAAAAGGGGAAAGGAAAAATTGTGATAACAAACTTCCAATATCTATATGTTTATCAGAACAGTGATATATGCCTGTGAATATCAAATTTCTAATTTTACTGGATATTGTCGCAATTCAGATGTTGACCCTCCTATAGGTCGTAACTCGCTTGGCTTTTTGACGAGAGGTTTTGATCATTTCACCTCTCAACCACATTCACCCCAAATAAAGAGTTAAGACAGTTCTCATATAAAATTTGACATTTATTGATTGAATGGAAAAAAGAACACTCGAAAAATACAGTACTTACATTACAACGTCTAGCATGGGGTTGACCAGCAGGACTGAAGTCGGGGAGACTTATCGACTCGGGTACTATTTATATTCGGAATCGATGCCAGGTTTGCAATCTTCTGCAATGGGAATGGCCATTACCTTCCGATATTGCTCACCTAGGTATTATCGCACGGTAAGCGGTTTCTGCAAATTCCACAGGAACTGACGTCTATGAACTCCGTTGACCTGATCGGAACTACATTGTACTGGATGTTTTAATTTGGAAAAGTTAAATTATAATCAAATATCTTGAACGTGAGTTCGAGTGATGTTATTCCATAAGCATTTGTACTTCTTGACAATATGACAACTCTCCAAATTCAAAATAAACAACTAGCCCGAAATTCTCAAATTTATCAGTCAAATAAATGCACTCAATATATGTGTATAACCAAGGACCTTGGTAATTTTGAAGATATCACCCGTTATACTATTTTTGATCTGGAATATCTATGAATCTTCAGATTTTTTTCATCTCTTGGGGCGCACGGAAGAGAATCCCTATAATGTTCGGAGACCATCGTGCGTAGATAGGTATTGGAATTTTTCTTGATCTTTTGGAGATTTTATAAGTTCTTGAGAATACCTCCTTTGGCAAAGAATTTCAAAGCCTTGCCGTTCTGGGTAATTTTCTAAATAACACTTTTTTTTTTAGAAATTGCCATGTTGCTACCAGCATCCTTGTCGCACAGCAGAACTGCTAACAACACTAGTGACATAAGGAAGAATCTACGTGTGAGAGACCCATCTGAACATCCCCAATATGATCCTGAAAAGACGTAAGTCATACTATTCTAATAATTTCTGCTAGTCACTACCTACTTATTTATTTTATCAGACTTGTTGTCTACAATCGAAAAACCTTTCAAATATGGGCTCTTTTTCCGAGTATTCTTCATCACTCTGTGGTATTTTTGTTGAAACAAGGACATTTAGGAAACGTCCTCGGCGATGACTATTCTTTTGGCATACCATCTGATTTTCTCCAGAGCTATCATTGCTTGAAATTTGTCATTTTAGGGGTGATGAGATTTTTTTGAAATAATAACACAATGGAGTCATTGTGATATCAGATACAGAAATAAAATTGATGAAATACGAAGTACCATATTGATGTATCGAACACAGTAAAACAAAGGCAATTTTGTGTTAAAGCCGTGGAAAAATAATTATTTTTTGTTGATCAGAAAATGTAATACTTCAGTATTCTTGGGTATAAATAATGACAAATTATCATTGGGGATTACTTCAAACATATCTGTACCAATTTTCATCATTCGAATATACAATGTGTCTGAGAAGAAAAATTGAAAAGGATAAGTAATATTTTTTGTCATGATAATCTCTCACTCGAAAAATAATGATTACTTATAGAATAAGGAATCATTTTGTTATTGATAAGTTATGCTTCGACAATACATAATATATTGTTTGGTTATTGATAATGTTGTTAATATTTTGAGTCGATGATCGATGGTTACAATTGTTTTTTCCTAACAGAAAGAATGAAGAGTCTCTGAGAACAAATTTATTTAAGCAAAAGTTTACAGTATAGTTACATCACATATATTTTGATATCAAAACATGTGAATTAAAAGAGATAAAATCAGACCAGAAATCCAGGTGTATCGAGCATCCACTATATTGATATGAATGATCTGTAACAAAAAAATAAACAAGTTCTTGATAGAGATAATATATCTTGTCCCATTTAATAATCGGAGCGCACGAAAGGATGTTGAAATTGCATTAAATCATTCAAAATGATTGTAAAGTATAAGAAAATAAAAAAACTATCAGGTATTTCAAGTTCAACGATGTTCATTAGGTCTAAAAGTCATGCCTTTCATCTGATGCATCAATTTCGAAGCACTTGGACGGATTGAAATGGATGAGATACAAAAATTTTTGCATGTTCATGGATATCTCAACAGTTGTTGAATACTGATTGACAAAAACACAGGTATGTTAACTATTAACAAATATTGGTTACTATCTAATTAATTTCATATTCGAGCCTTGTTTCTTCAATCAAGGATTTTGTGGATTTGCATCCATTCTTATAAATCTATTCACTTATATGAATTTGCACTTGTCATCTCCTCACAATTGATCTGTACAATCATCATCCTATGCGTACAGGAAGATCAAGCATTTTACCTTGCGGAATCTTCCAACAAAATTTCCTAGACCCCACCCTCTCAGTGTTTCCTCCATCTTGGAAGTCTATAGAACAAGCTTTAGAGAAAATGTATCAGCATGCCTAATAGTTATCAAATTGGTAAGAATTAGAGTCAGACGATGAGAAATATATAGGAATTCAGATAATAATGACACTTGATGGAGAAGTAAATGTTAGTATGATTTATTCACCATGCAGACTCGCTATTGTGTCTTAGAAATTGAAAACAATATGATATAAACTCACCAGCCACTTCGTGTAATACCTATGCTCCGCAGCACAAACTGATGAAACTCAAATTCACATTCAACAGTGCACACCACAATTTTCTGTGTTAGCAATTGATATTTGATTATTAGGCCTTAGGCCACTCCAAGCGTCCTTTGCAGTCTAACATGTTGACTCCGACTACCTACTGCATTCCAACCTCGAGCATGCGCCGAAGAGAATATCACTACGTCATGGGAAGGTCAATAATTGTATAACGAATAATTTGTTTCTCTCAAGAATAATTTCTTATTATCTAAGCAATTAAACTGTGAGGAGAATTTGTTACCTGTTAATAAATGGTAATTCGGGAGTAAGATTCCATAAAGTTTGGATATAACGAACAGGTTTGTGACAAACTCATGGAAGTTATTACTCCTGAAAATATATGTTAATATTGAAAGAATCAGCTTCTAACGAATCCTTTGTTTTCGGTCAACGATTCTTTTACAAATTACATGGTAGTATTTAATAAGGTATATTGATGACAAGAAGGTGTCGTTAATATTCAACGAAGCATACTCAAACAAATCAATTTATTTATCATAACAAAATCTTTCCCTCAGTGTATTCTTTCCAAAAATACGACAGTACAATAGATTTTCTGAACACGTATTAAAAAAATAATTCTATTTTTCGGAGACCCTCTGTTTATTGATGATGAAAATCGGTACAGATGTGTTTCAAGTAATCCTGATTCAGAATTCGTCATCATTTTCTGAGTGAAGAATTATCATGATAATAAAGATTGCTTACTTATCCTTATCAATTTTTTTTCTCAAACATATCGAATATTCTCAATGCTGAAAATTGATACAGAGATATGTTCGAAGTAATCCTCAATATTGATGTGTCATCAGTGTTCTTCCCAGAAATGCCACATTCCTACATTTTCTGACCACCTATTCAAAAAATAATACCAATTCTATTACTTGGACACCCTGTGTTTCATGATGATTAAAATCGGTACAGGTATGTTCCGAGTGATTATGTTTCAAAATCCATATTTTTTTTGTTTATGAATATTACTTTCTGAAATATGGGTCACCAAAGTTGGTCGCAGTTGGCCATGATAATAGTCCAGGAATAAAATCACTCTCTTGTTGGCTGGACATCTGAAATGATAACGATTTTACAGAGGTGGTATGTCCTTGGGGTGGGCACAATGTATGGTCATTGATTTTCATAATTTGAAAGTGAAATTTTCCCAACTAGTCCAATAAATAAAGGGAAAAAGTTAACATTAATTACGCACTATTTTCATCTTCCGGTCGAAAGTAGCTTTTGGTACCTCATTAAACTTGAGACAAAGTTTGACTGGAAAATGCGTGCGATGGCGGAGAAAATGCCCCAAAAGACCAGAAAGATAGGTTTTCAGCCAATACCTCCTAAAATATGTCAGTTAGAGATTTTCGGTTCAAATAAAAATTGAAGTTTAGTTAATTTTCTACAAAAATGGTCCTTATCATTTTTCTCGAAAATTTGCCCAGTTTCGAGAAAAACGGCACGAAGCGCACCTCGAATAATGAGCTTCTGTTGTATGCCGGAGAGCACAGTCCGTGTATTTACACATCGGCGGGGGGACAAATTATTCAATAACTTTGTTGAAAATGCATATTTTCTCATGATTCAAAGTTCATGTGAAAGAGGAATTCTGCTGCTATCATACCCTGTGAATTGAGTCACGCTTGACTCTTTTGGTCATATCGGAACATAGGTCAAACTTTCTGCTCCTGGTCAATTTTGACCTCGCCAGGAATTTGTTCCTATTTTTTTTTGTATTGCACTAATTTACTCAAAATTCTCTTGATTATGGATCCTCATAAGGTCCTTCGTCATCCCTGAAAATTTGTATACCCTAATTTTTTTTTAATGTTCATTTAATCTTTGTTTATTGAATCCCAATTCTTTGCTGTTTTTGGAGCGCGGGGAAATTTTGTGAACAACCATCAATTAAAAATTTATACATGATCCGATTGGTTTCTATGATACATCATTTGAAAGCTAAGAAGGTCTACTTTTCGATTGTGCAATTACTTTGTTAGACGAAGTCGTCCATTTTTCAATAAAATTAGAAAAAGCGGGGTCGAGAAAAAAACGCACTTTTTTTTTCGGTGTTTTTTTTCTCCGTGCTATTTATTTCTAACATTTTAACACCTTGACTAGTGTAACGGGGAAATTCCCACCTTTCCATCGATGTATATAAGTCATACCTTTGATATCCCGGGAAAAAACCAGTATATCTAAATGTACACGCTATAATTTATTACTTTCGTTCCTCCGTCGTTCGCCGCGTGTGTGCTCTACGTGGCGCTCGGGTCGTCTGCTACAAACCATGCGGCCACGCAGGGTATGATAGCAGCAGAATTCCTCTTCCACATGAACTTTGAATCATGAGAAAATATGCATTTTTAACAAAGTTATTGAATAATTTGTCCCCCCGCCGATGTGTAAATACACGGACTGTGCTCTCCGGCATACAACAGAAGCTCATTATTCGAGGTGCGCTTCGTGCCGTTTTTCTCGAAACAGGGCAAATTTTCGAGAAAAATGATATGGACCATTTTTGTAGAAAATTACCTAAACTTCAATTTTTATCTGAACCGAAAATCTCTAACTGCCATATTTTAGGAGATATTGGCTGAAAACCTATTTTCCTGGTCTTTTGGGGCCATTTTCTCCGCCATCGCACGCGTTTTCCAGTCAAACTTTGTCTCATGTTTAATGAGGTACCAAAAGCTACTTCCAACCGGAAGATGAAAATAATGCGTAATTAACGTTAACTTCGCCTTTTTTTCCTCCTTCATTTATTGGACTAAACACCGTGTTTTCTGATTTAGGCAATTTTCCTTTATTCGAATAATCAATTTTCGTTTAATTCAACTCTAACACAAATTTTCTCACAAACTTCAACCATATGTGGTGGTGCGAAAACTAAAAGGTAAACGAACAATTCTGATAAATGACTGGGGAACAATATATATTATATCCTCCGGTCAATTCTCCCTAGTAGAAACCCGAGGTCCAGCTGCTGATGGGTTTGCACTTCCGCTGAATTGGACATTATTCAGAAGGATTCCCTCCTTGTCTGCCACCCCACTCTCCCCCACGCATAGTTCCAGATCAAGTATGAAGAGACAACTTGATAAATTCGCCAATTTCCTGCCTTCCGCGAACGATATTTCACTAGAGGCAGAAATTATGGCGCAGGGTAGGTACATGACGTACAGGTAGTATAAGGGAGATGCGGAGTTGATGCAGATTTGCGGTTCCGGAGGAATTCAGCTGTTGAATTTTCTTGAGTCCGGTGTCTGTCGAGTTTCGCCGGTG